GGCAGCCGATGGGGCGAGCGCCCCCACAGACGCAGTCAGCTTGCTGCTGCAGGTCATCTAGAGGATCCCTGGACTGCTCTTGGAGCGATTCAATTGAACCTGCTCTTGGCAGGCAATTCCAATTGAACCTGTTCTTGGCAGCCAATTCGAACTAGACCTGCTCTTGGCAGCCGATTCCAATTGAACCTGCTCTTGGCAGCCAATTCCAACAAGACCTACTCTCGACAGCCGATTCCAATTCAACCTGCTCTTGACAGCCAATTCCAACTGGACCTGCTCTTGGCAGCCAATTCCAATTGAACCTGCTCTTGGCAGCCAATTCCAACTGGACCTGCTCTCGACAGCCGATTCCAATTGAACCTGCTTTGAGTATTATCAGCATTGGCATCAAGTTCAAATGTTCCAAATGTCGCCGATGTGCCGACACCGCCGACATCTGCTTTGTCCCCTAGCCCCTGAGCTTGCGCCGCTTGCTGTAGCGTCGCTTGCAACATCCCACGTTACCCTCATGACATCGACTTGCTTGCAAATGACCCCGCATTTGCCCCCATTCCTCAACCGACCCAAGCGATGGCGGAGGCGACTTCGAGGGAGACAACGGAGGGCTCAACAACACAGCGTATTGCTTGTACTTGACTACCGTCGACCTGGGCGATGAATTCTGTGATGTCACATATCCTGCACCCGAGTCGGCCGAGCTCGAGTACCTCGACAAGTGGCTCGGATCGTGACCTGCCGATGCTACGTCGTAAGACAAGCTCTCATATCCAAACGCCCCATCATAGTACGCCGCTGCTCTAGCTCGCGACAACCCATCGTAACCTCCTCCGCTTCGACCTCCCGTCGTCACTGCTTGTGCCGTTGCAGGCAGCAACCGGAGCTACTTCAGCGTGTGTGCAAAAAACACACACCCAAATGACGATAATTTTGCGCATCTTTGCACGGTTGCATCTAGTATCGAGCCGGATGCAGCCAACACTCGAACACTCTGTGCGTGAACTTGCATGCATCGCCTCTCCGAGAGCTTTCCTTCCAAAAGTCCAAGTATGCCGTCCCTGAGTAGTGGTACTGCCGCGGATCGCAATGCTTAGCTTTGTCGCCTGGGTGGACAAACGGGCACTCCGTTCAATCATGGATCCTCCCCCTCGTCCATCGCTTTACCTTGAATTCAAACATCCACAACTGGTTGACCCATATATGTCCACCACCGGGTATGCCTCCTCGTCCTTGTTGTTCGACGGCAGAAACTTATTGAATAGTGCATGAAAAAGTGTCGGTGACCCCAGTGACAATTCCCCGGCTTCCAGCGATGACGCCGACCTCAAGCTCAACCCTCGTAGGGCCGCTTCACCCGCTCCACTTCTCGCTTCCCGCTCCCCGCCTCAATCAACGATTCCTTATCCAACATCGAAAACCTTGAGAACTCACCCCTCGACACCGGCAAGCTCGACGGGCACAAAAAGAAATTATTGAATGCGTGCAACTGCGCGCTCTTCCTGCCCCTCAAGTTGTGGCTCCTCTGATACATCCCACCCAACGCGCTATCTCCAAGCACCTCATCGACAGGACCCCGACCCTCAGCTTTCTTGACTCACATTTCGAAGGTTACAAATTGTGTCATCCTTTCTTGTGTTCGGTGTGAGAAGCATGCAGCATCTTCCTTCGTTGCATGTCATGCATGCAGGTGGATGCTTTCCGTTTTATGATTATTTTCTATCTCCATGATATTAGACTAGAAACTTTTTCACCGGGATATGGTTTTCTACAGAGTCGAGTTATGGAAATCAATTGGAGTTCTAGTGGGAGGACTTGATTCTCATGTTGGCCGGACTACATTAGAATAGATTACATCGGGTGTAATCATAGAATCGTATGGTATGACATCTGTTCAACCTTGGTCATCTCATTGAGCCTAGTATATAATCCGTCGACCTCCGCCAATTGGGAACCATACATACACACACACACACACACACACATGGAAGCATGTAGAGTTTTAGACACAGGTTGACATGTTATGCAGGTGGTGGAGTAGACAAGAATTGACCTAATAAGGAACATGCGAAGCGATGTAACGTCCCTCTGTCTCAAGCTCCTATTTCAACCTAAAACACAACAAAGGAACACAATCACTCACCGTAGAAAACACACAAACACACACACAAAAATAAATAAATAAATAAATAAAACAGAAACAAAAAAAATAAAAAACAAAAAACAAAAGCAATGCAAATCGCCCCAAGAATGCCTCAACTTCACTTCGAAAGAAAAAACAGATCAACACAGGGCAGCCGAATTTTGATCCAGCACGGGATCACCTCCAATGCTTGGAGTTCGAGCTTGGAGTCTGGCTCACCTCGCCTTACATCACAACTTCATCTTTGACTGGACTAGGTAAACCTGGTTTAGGGTTTTAGGGTTTTAGGGATTAGAGGTTTTGCAACACTCGCAAATTGTGAAGCTCAGTTCACAATTGCTTTCATGCCTCCACTCATTCTCAACGCCACAATTCAAGATTACTGGCTGCTGCATACCTCAGAATGCAATAGCTTTCATCATTTCATGTGAGCCAAGGGAAGCAGCACCCCTTCACAAATAACCGACACATTCTATACAATACAAAACAAAAAAATACAAACAAAGCCAAATACACAAAATGGACCAACAGCCCGAACAAAGCAACAAAATATATAAAACAATTGTGTCATACAAAACTTGAAAACCTAGAAATGAACTAAAAGTCCACATTCTCCATCAACACTAAAATCCCAACAACAACAACAATAACAACAACAACACAAAAAAAAGAAAAAAAGAAAAAAAAACCTGTACTACCTTCCAAGAGATTGCAGGCAAAATCTTGCACAAAATATATTTCTTAATAAACCCACATGCATTCGAGGACGGCAAATACATGCGACAGCTCATGAACTTGAGCAGTAAATCCTGTCCTTGTATCCATAACAAGAGCCCATAGATTTGTACAAGAAGCCACACTGCTTATATACAGACCGTCTTCATTACCCTTTTCCACGTGCTCCGTAAGCCGGGAATCAGGTGCATCGTAGTGATACCTGCACGTCGAAACAAATGTAGGAATGAAAGTTCAATAAATAGGTCTGTCCGAATCCAGGCTGCTTGCTGAAAGTAAACGCATGTCGTAGAAATCGGAATAGCTGATCGACATCCAGGAGGACAAAGTCAAAATCGACGATACACACATGACCGGGCTCATGCCTAACTGAGCAACATCACACCACATCAATGACGAAAGCTCGCACCGCCTTACCTCTGCTTCATTTGGCCACCGAGCGTTATAAACGTTGTAATCCATTGAGTTGCGGGCATTCCTAACCGGATCTTTTTCTTAGGTTGGTCATCCTCATCTTCTTCAACATCTGATTCGCCCTCTCTTCTGACCAACCTGTATGGAACACTAGAAACAAAAGGCTTTATTAATATGATGATCAAATGAAGAGTAGGTTCAAAAAAAGAATCCTCAGAGTAGGGACAGGAAAAACGAAGCAAAAGAAGGTCATAGAATGCACCTTTTCAACACCGTCTGTGTTTATGGGTCTCACAGTAGGATTAGGACTCAAGATGGAATCAAAGAGTAGAACGAGCTTGCCGTGGTTTGGCTCTTCATCGAACTTCATATTTGCGACCATCTCCAAAACGTCTGTTTAAAAATGGAACCGGGCAGAAACAGCACAGCATTTCGGGAGAAGTTGCCATTTTCTTCTTCCACACCAGAAAACCTTTGTTGTCGCCCTAC